CGACAGAGACTTCTGGTTATATTTGAAATGTACGTTACGAATGGTAACGTACATTTTGTACATTTCTAACTGACATTTTTTTATTATTTAGTCAATGAATTGCGTTTACACGAGCGAAACAAAATTATCGTCACAATCCATTTGACAAATGACCACATAAATCCATCTAAATGCACCCCAATCCTCGTAAATGTGGTGGACTGTTACCACTTGCTAGAAAATTTATTTCTATGTGTCTTAAATTCATCTTTAGCAACCTTTTTGCAGTTTGTTTACTTTTAATATGCGACTTTTCGTCAATATAAATTTAATTGTTGTTGGTAATTTAAAACAAGGTATTCATAGACTTATAATTGGTAAAAAAACCCAAAACGAAACAAAAAGAAAAAGGAAAAAGAAACAAAACAAATGAATCCAGAACACAAGACGGTCACGTACATTTCAAATACTGAAAGGCACACAATACTCAGTTTTGTTTGAATCATTGCATTTTAGGTTATATTTTTCCAGATCTGCTGAAAATTACGTATGTTTGTGTTTTGACAAACGATGCTGCAACATACTATTAAAATGAAAATGTTAACAAGACTGTCGATGGATATATTCGGAATAGATTTATCTTAAATTTCAATGGCCAAACACAAGCATTTGTTAGATCATAGCAAAATACGTCTGACTCTTTTTTTTGTCTGTACCGTTGCACACAGGTAGAAGTAACTAGGCTACGACCGGTGTCAATTTCCGCGAAACAGCACAAAAGAATGGTAATGAACTAAGATGGAGGGGACTCCCCAATAATATGTGAAATGAACGTTACCGAAGTGACGTGACATTCATGTAGTTGATGACAAATAACCACGTTTGTTACCATATTATTTCTTATATTACTGCGTTAAAACGCTTCATTGAAATGATTTTTATCTCAATAATTGTTTTTTTTTCCCAATATTTTCTTATTACTAATTTACGTACATTACAAGCTTGAAATGTACGTTACCTACTCATATTCTGAGGCAATCGTGTCTTTATAGTATGATTGTGACATATAACACAATGTGATTACATAGAGAATCTTTTTTGGAATAAACTGAAACAAAACTATGAATTTTTAGATGAATTTTAAGCTTTTTATTTAACAGAAATATATCTTGAAATGTACGTTACATTTACGTAGTTGTCTAAATCGGCATGGATATATGTTAAAATAGACAGTAACTACAAAATATAATTTTACTACATGTACATGTTAAGTTCCACTATCTATAGAAAATGACAAGATTCTAAACTGATCGCTCTAAACAAAACAGAGAGAAGAATTTAAAGCATATATTTAAAAAAATGTTTTTATACATCTGGGTCAAAAAGTAACCTTTGTTTTTTGAAAGGAAAAATCAAGCGCACGTTCGTATGCCGAGAAAATATGTTGCTGACAGAGTTGGTAGGATGTGTTGGTGTTAAGATGAGATATTCCAATTGTGATTTTAATGACTACATTTTTTTTTACATATCTTTTTGGACATTGAAGAAAGAGTAACGTACATTTCAAGCTACATTTCTGAATAAAATCACCCTCTTCTTTACCGTCTTGTCATTATTCCATGTATTAAAATTTGATGAAAAAAAACCTGGAAACAAAATCTTCAGATATCTTCTTTCAAAGGTAATTGATAGAAAAATTGTTATCTTGAACTTCATTTTTTTAAAAATCAGAGAGGCATTTGTGCCCTTATATTGAGAATGGGTGTTTATCGCGTTTGAAGACTAAGTGAAAATATGTACTTAAAACGTTTGTAAGTATCCTGGACCTACCTTTCCGCTGGCTCCGGTTCTTCGATTCTCGTTGCTTCCCTCGAAATGGTTGCAAAGATCCAGCGCTGTGTCCGCGTCACCGCCTCCCGGTCTCCCCGTGATGGCGGAGGTTCCCGGTAAGGTGTCCGCGGAGTAAAATTAATCGGATCCGAGAAATTAATTGGTGGGACATCATCCACATATTTGTCTCCCACAATCTTCTTTTCTTTAATTCTTCCATCAATAAATTCCACTGGCTTCATCTCCATCTTGTACGAAAAGCTTAAGAATTGCTACTTTTAGCGTTAACATCCATGAGAATTATGAAGAGATGAAATACTTGTTTGGATAATGTATTTGTATGGCCATTTTTGATTTAAAAACAAATGTTGTCGCCATAGCCGGGAAAACTTAAAAATATTATCAGGTTTCTGTTTGCATGCTAGAGTATCTAGCTAATTTTTAGTTTACCATAACACACTTTAAAGTTATTAGTCAGATGTTTTCTTGCAGTAATATTAATGTCAACATTTTAATTTATTGTGTCTACCTTTCGACGCAGGGAGGCATATTTTTTAAAACCCTGAGTCCATCTCTTTTCCTGAAGCAGAACATAATATATTGGTTTTGGCATGGTTGTTGTTATGTTTGTTTGTCACAAATCGTGTGTGGAACACATTTCCAGAATTCTTGATTGAAGTAGAATTTAACTTAACATATATATTGTTGTGAATGGCCAAATATTGAAATATAATCTCAGATCAAGGTAATATTCTAAAGGTCGATGGAAAATAGATATTCAAATAATGTTTAACGTCCCTTTCGGGAATTTTTTACTCATATTGACACGCAACCACTTGCTGATGAAGAGCTGCACTGACCACTCAGGGCCATTGAGAAGTGAGGGATCGTTTTCGTGCTAGCATGTTAAACGACTCGGGACGTTTGCGTTTACCTTCACAAACGTGGACGTTATCTGGGATTATACACTGAATACAAATTATATATGTTTTGTTTAGAATTTCAGTTGCTAAAATTTGCCACAATTAAAGAAATATCTTCTCTTGAATGTATAGCAACAAAGTATTGAAGTTGGAAAAGCCATCTTTATTTAAGTTGAAATTTTAACCTTAAAAAAGGTGGCACTGATGTGCTTCCGTACAAAAAGCATTTATTAATTTTAATTAATATCCCAATTTACGTCTTAGACTTCACTCTTTTAATGTTTTTATGCACCCGGATCGACAGATCGGGGGAACATATTCATGTATTGTTTTGTCCTCTCTGTCTGTCTGTTGTCAACTTTAATCTTCGCCATAACTTTTGAACCATGACAGATAGAGATATCATATGGTATGCTTACTCCACTAACTTTTCTTTAAATGGCGCCAAGGTCAATGACTTTATGACCTTGACAGTGACCTATATGTTAAAAATAGCCTTTTTGAGTCTTCGCCATAACTTTTGAACCATAAGAGATAGAGTTTTCATATTTGGTATGCTTACTCCACTAATTAAGGTCTTTCAAACGACGCCAGGGTCAATAACCTTGTGACCTTGATTGTGACTTATATGCTTAAAACAGCCATTTCGAACTTTGTTGCCGCCAGGTGCATAGTGTTTCACAAACACATCTTGTTTTTAAAATATGATATTAACTTTGATCTAAGTGCTTAAACAATGTAAACTCTCATTTTTGAATCATACTATTCTGTCTATTAATTATAAAAATGCCATTTTGCAGAAAAGTAAAATTGATTATGCAAAGCACTTTTTGATTCTTCTCACAATATTCCAGATACATGTAGAATATGATTGTATGTCCCTTGAATTAATTACTTTGGATAAAAATAAAGGAGAAAAATGACATGTGCAAAATCAAACTTACCCGTAGTTAAAATAGAAATTTAAAGCATAAGACCTCCATGTAATAACATGCTTTTGTGTGTGTATGTGGGGGATACATGACTTTTGCAAGGGAATGTTCTGCTTTTTGTCCTTGCTCGCTTCAATTTCTATGCCCCCCGATCGAAAGATCCCAGGGGTACATTGTTTTTGCCATGTCTGTCTGTCAACTTAATCAACCTATCCCATAACTATTGAGTGGGTGGGGCTATGGCTTTCATATCTCACAGGTCCTCTTTACCTTAACCTCCGAGTTTGAACTACTTTTACAAAAATAAAAATACCACACTTTAACCTTGTCCATTTCCTTTGCACAGTTGGAGGTGGGGCTTTCATCCTTAACATGTGTATTCATTATGATAAAACCTTTTTGCTGGTATAAATATTTTTGACCATTTCTTCTTGACCCAAGAGTTTGACCCACTTTTTAAAAACTTTAGCCCTGGGTATAACTTTTTGAAAAGCTAAAACTAGGGCGTCCATTATTTAACAAGTGTATTCCTTGTAACAAGACCTTTCTTTGGGTACCAACACTTTGGACCTTTTGACCTTTGGAGTTTGACATGCATTTGACAGAATTCAACCGTCACTGTAAGCTGCCATACGGAGGCGTCAGTGTTTCACAAACACATCTTGTTAATCAAGTTATGAGGAAATATTCTAAAAATGTACTGATAAAAGATACTTATTTACTTATAGATTTATGATAACTTGATCCAACCTCCTTTGAAGGGGCCTGGACACAGTTTCAACTGATTTTTTTAAACCAATTATAATGTTTACAATTCCTACCTAAGGCATAATCTATTGATTAGCAAAAATTTGAACATCATTTGTTGATTAACAAACAAGATACAGAACTTAAGTTCTTCATAATGTAAACGATTTGAGCCAAAAACCTTTTCTCGTGCCTTGTTTTTGTTTACATATAGAAAAAACTCATATTTTAAACAAAATGAAGCTCAGCAAATCAATAGTAACTGTCGAATCGTATTTAAAATTAACTTTTATTTCAAATTATCTACTTTGAACGAACATAATTATATTAGTATGTTAACCTGTGTAAACAAAAACATGACACTAGCCTTGTTCACATAACAAAGGTTTGGAGCTCTAAATCTGTTCTTGTATCTAGACAAACTAGCGTTCCAATTTTTGATGATCATTAGAAAGACCCTAGTTAAATATTTGTAAAAATGGAAAAATTAATTTTGAAATTTTAGCTGAAACTGTGTCTATGCCCCTTTAATTGAAAATGAGCTAAATGTCCTCATCTTGCCTCTTCATTCTTTTAGTTCAAAGTATAAGCTGAAACAAATGTTAAGATTCCATTTTATTCATCATCAAATATGCAAAGATGCTGAGAAATTTTAAACACAAAGAAAATTATGCTACAGTAAACTTTTTTCCTATTTGATAACTATGTGCAATACACACAAAGACCTTTTATATATTACAAATGAAAAACAATTGTCCCTCACATGAACAATTCTTAATTTTTCAGACAGTGATGCATTAAGTATCCTCAATATAAAAAAATATAAATCAACAACAAAAAAAAGTAAGACATAACAACAAATGTATAATAAATACCAAAAAAATATTCAGGAAAAAATATAACAAAATACGGAACTTATTTCAGGTCAACAGTGGACGGAATGCTGTTACTGATATCACTGGAAAAATATTGGCTGGAATTGCAACAATAAAATATCACATAATAATTCTGAATCAGTACATCAAAAATACATGATACTGTCAGTAATTTTTAGCTGGAATGCTTTAAGTAAAAGTTTTAAATATTCTTTGCTAATTAAGGCACTCATTTTATAATATGCATACATCACATTAAAAAGTCAACAAAAACACAAACTTGTTTTTTCTCCACTTAGGAATAATCATAGCAGCAGTTATTTAATCAAATTTCAGAATCACAGCTTAATGTAACGGTGTAAATTGTTCAATCATCTGCTCTCAAGATGCCATTTATATTTTCAAGAAGTTCATGTCATAGATATTTGCAAAATGGCAGTAATAAATAAATAAATATATTCACAGCTAAAATTACATCAAATCTGAGTCTTCCTTGTCCTTTGCAAGAGTTGTCTCCCCTTCTTTGGCTGGTTCTTGCTCTTTGCTGGTTTCTGGTTGTTTGTCGTCTGCTCCACTAGATTCCTGTTTCTGGTTGTTGTCATCTGATGTTGTTTTTGTCTCTGTCATATAATCTGAATCCTTCCTCTCAACTGGAGGAGGAGTTTTTGTCTTTTCTGACCCCCGTTTTTCCTCCTCAGTGCGATTGGTGGGTGGACCAGAGGATTTTGCCTTATCTGATGCTTGCTTCTCTTCTTCCGTGCGATTGGTTGGGGGACCAGAGGATTTTGCTTTATCTGATTCCTTCTTTTCCTCTTCAGTTCTATGTGATGGTGGACCAGAGGATTTTGCCTTATCTGATGCTTGCTTCTCCTCTGCTGTACGATTGCTTGGGGGACCAGAGGACTTTGCCTTATCTGACCCTTGCTTCACCTCTTCAGTTCTATTTGATGGTGGACCAGAGGACTTTGCCTTATCTGATTCCTTTTTCTCCTCCTCTGTTCTATTTGATGGTGGTCCAGAAGATTTTGTTGGCTCTGACTCCTGCTTGTCTTCTACAGTGCGACTGGTGGGTGGATCAGAAGATTTCGTCTGGTCATCATGAATGTTGTCTTTGGACTCTGTCTTTTGAAAGTTTTCACCTGATGGGGCTTTTTTGAGACTCTCCTTGGATTTTGCTTTGTATAAATTATCTCCAGATGAGTGAGATGACCCCTTTTTAAGACTTTGGGTTGATTCACCTTTCTTTAAACTCTGAGTCGATTCACCTTTTTTCAAACTCTGAGTCGATTCCCCTTTCTTCAAACTCTGAGTTGATTCCCCTTTCTTCAAACTCTTCGTGGATTCACCTTTCTTCAAACTGTGTGAAGATTCACTTTTCTTCAAACTTTTGACCGATTCTGATTTTTTCTTATCCATGGCATTTTGATTCTGATTTCCTTCTGAACTTCTGTCACTAGTCTAAAACACAAATGAAAGATATGCTTGTAAAAAATACGGAAATAGTCAGTTAAAATGCACCAAGAGAAAGTGCTTACAGCCTATTGCACAGTGAGTAAATGTTTCACTGGACACAAACTAAAAGTCTTTTTATTGCTACACTTTGGAACAACAAAATCAATAATATATGCATATAAAAGGAATATTAATTTTTTGACATGAAATTCCCCCCCCCCTCAACAAAACATCATATTCATGGCCTGCTGACAATGACCACACTGGGTTACCTGTTGAGGGTTTTTCCTGTCTGTTCCTTCTCCAGCCTCATCCTCACTATGCTCAATCTCCACTTGAGTCACAGGGTCCTCGTGCTCAGATCGAGGTCTGGAGGTACTCTTCTGTTCATGCACGTCTTCCTCCGAGGTCATGTTATCTTTGCCTCTGGACTTCTTGCTGGTCACACTAGCCCTGGTGGGAGGCCTAGAGCCTGGTTTTGCTACTGGGGACTGCTGACCAGATCTTTCACTGCCCTTTGTTGGTGTACCAACTCGACTTCCTTTCTTTCCTTCAGATTTTCCTTGACTGTAAACCGAGTCCTTGCTTCCTTTTACACTCGACTTCTTTTCAGTTTCTCCGATGGGCTGTTCCCCACCCATTGGGGGTTCTTTCTGTAATGCAAGTCCTGGGGGTAGGGGCGGAGCTTTCGGACTCATTGGTCTATATGACATCTGAGACTGTTCAGAGTTCTCCACCTCTTCACCCTGCTCCAGCTCAATGAGTTCTTCTTCCTCTTCATCAGAGTGAATGGACTCTTCCTCTTGTATTGGCATCATGGGAGCTTTCATCAGCATCATATAGGATCTTGACTTTTTCGTACCATCTACTGGCAGTCCTGTTTAACAAAATACATTGAAATAGTTGGTCTCAGTTGATTTCACAATGAATTCTTTGATAAGGAATTCCTGACAGTTGAAAAATGCTTCAACTCTCAACATGGAACTTACCAGGGTCTAGTATAAGTGCTACTCTGGCCAGCTTCCATTTCTCCACGGGAACTGGACAATTCAGGCTTACTTCAGTGGTCTGGACTTGTCTGCTCTGTAAGTAAAAAAAATACTATTTGTGAAATTCTATATCCAAGATACACATAGGACAGTCCTTTAAAAGTTGTGAAGTTATGACATAGCATCAATATGACTTGAAATTGTTTGACTACCATTTGTAAATTTCATGAAATTTAAACACCTGCAGGTAAAGAAATGCATTACAGTTCTGTCCTATTACAATAATTTTTTGCATTGCTATTCCATTTAAAATCATTAAGATCTTTTGAAAAAAATATCAATGTTACCTTGTTCATGAAAATAGGGCATGAGTAAATTGTCTGTTGGTTGACTTTGTCTGCCTGCTCCGCTGCTATGACAGGCTTCATGTAAATGTATGGAATGTTATATAGGGATGAGCTGAAAGAAACCAAAAAAAAGCATAACATGCAAGCAAATTATTTGATTTTTAGACAATTTCTTTTATATTGTTTAATGAAAATATGAAATGGACTGAAAAAAAAAATATAAACCTGAATAACATTTCAGTCTCAAAAAAATGAAATTTACATTCTCAGTAAGAGAAATAATACAAATTTATTTGTGTTTCATACACTTATCAATATGAAAGAAATAGAACTTGAACATCTTTCTTACCTTGGATCTTTGAGGCAGTCATTTTCATAATCCCAGGCAGCCCCTTGAAGATTGAGGTCACTAACAAACATCCCTCCTTCATCCACATCATAATCATCTGTGTTGACATTGTCCAGTACAATACACTCAAAGGATATCTACCAAGTTTAGAAAGAAACAGTTAATTAAATGTTATAGTAACAGACACTATGATTTTTAAGACATACTCAGATTTTGAATTTAAGGTGGCTCATTACATCCACAGTTTATTTTAGATTTCAATACAGCACCACTTATAATGTAGATGTCAAATATCCAGATGGGGGTATTGATATCATAAATATTTTTAGAGAATTTTTTAGTTTTTGTCTAATTTTAGTGAAATGTTTTAATTTCAAGTTTATTATTAACAGAATTTCTGAACTTTCAGTGTCAAATGATGGGCGTCTTCTTAAGACATGTACACACAGGGAAAATACCTCATAATACCTAATAATGATTTTATTAGAAAATTATAATTTTCTCCTGAAAAACAATCAATGTCATTATCTTTTTAATCTATGCATAAAACATTAAAGAAATGAGTTCTGAAGAGACAAGGAATGTATTTCAATGAATTACATGTGTCAAATTGAATGAAGAATGTTTAAACGAAATGAAAAATCCAATTTAAAAAATATTTGGAATAAAAAGTCCACTTTCAAGAGTTATCTTTCCTAATTACCCAAGACTCTTAGGAAGACTAGATTTACCGGGTGCACGTTTGTTAAGTTTCTTTCGTTTGTCGTGTTTTTATGTACGTTTGTACTGCAAAGATGATCGTTGGTTTTGCATTTATATATGTTTGTTACGTATGTGGTCGTTGGTTTTGCTTTAATGTATATTTGTTCTGCGAAAAGGTCTGTTGATCATGCATTGGATGTCATTTATTAAGTTTTTATAGTCATTGAAATTAAAATAATTGTTTGTTTTCTCATAATGGTAATTTTTGCCCTTTCCGCTGCCCATAGTCAGGGTCATATTATAGAGGTACCTGTACAATTCGTCCCCAGAGGAAACCGGTCGATACAATGGAGGTTTTTTTTTTGTGTAGTACGTCATGAAAAAGTGGTGTAATGAGCCTCCTTAAAAGGCATTTTTTTTATTGTACATTCTCCCATCTGCATATCGTAAGTCACTTTTTATTCGCATAAATTTTATTTTAGCTCATTACACGAGACAATATGCTCTCAAAAATTTCATTCCCATGTAAAGTAGTTTTCCTACAGATTATACAGAGCAAAAACCAATATTCATTAACATTTTGCCATGCTAATAAAGAAATTGTGACTATCTCATGAAAATTAAGTGTCAGAAACATTTAGTGATCTACAGAACCCTGATAGCTTCATACCTCTGACATTGAGCAGTGGGCTACAATAGCCTTCTCCTGTCTGATGGCCACCAGAAGGGCCTGAGGGTTGACCAGTCCTCCTAGCCACACTTTGCCCAGTCGTCCAGCCGCAATGGTTGGGTTCTCCAGAATTCCATCCTTAAAGACTGGAACCATGCTGTGTTTAACCCAAGTATGCAACTGCTTGTACCTTTTCTTCAAGTCTACAAAATATATTAAAAGTATTGCTAATGTGGATATTCATGAATGCTGTTAATTATACAATTCAGAAGCAAAGGTTTTGGGGTATTTTAAATATAATACAATGTTTTGTTGTTGCTAAATCAACAGCATTGTACAAGCAAAAGTATGTTGTGGACATGCATTTACTTAAATTATTTCTTCTTTTATTAGTATTCATTACAATTGCAAGCAATAAGTAAAATTTGCTTTGATTGTCCATTTCATAAGAATCTGGGTTACTGACCTTCCAGCCAAGACACAAGGGAGTGAGTCGATGGCTGACAATTAGGATGGATCCAGGACACGGGAACATGCTCCTCCTGTAGGCAGCAGGCAGTAGGCAGGAGCTCCTGAGGAATGGCCTCCGGACCGGCTAACAGACTGCCCTGTAGGTCATGAATCTGTTGCCTCATATGACAAATGGAGTTGTTCATCCATAAGCATTCCTGACAAACAATGAATAAGATATTTTAATATTTGTAAAAATGTGACATTTGGTATACAATAAACATTGTAGGGAAAATTTTATGCCGCTTTTCCAGATACAGTAAAACTTGGTTATAAAAAACTTGATTATAAAAGGAAACTATTCTGAACCCCATGAAATACTTTGCAACATAATCCTTATATGGCTATACAAAATCTGTCATAAAGAACTAAAGAAGCCACATCTGAATTCTGAAGTCCCTGTTACTACCTTTAATATAACAGAATTTTTGTGAACTAGAATGTTAAACTTTCAATTTGAAATAAATAAGGTGTCATTTACAAACAAGATTTATTTCCATTTCCTAACCTTCAAAGATTGCAATTGACAACTGTAACAAACCAAAACAGGAAAAAATGTCAATTTCCCTGCAATGAAACCCACAAACACACACCTGCAACAAGCAGTATCCAATGGTTTCTGGCATCTGAGAGCTACTGACTGTAGCCAGACTAATGAGGCTGGGGACATGATAAGGGAAGTCGTAGTCATGCTTGATCATGTCTCCGACTTGTCCCAGCTCTAGGAGCTTGGGTATCTCCTCAGCACACATGTCCAGGGAGGATCGCAGCCTCATGATATTCACGCTGCCTTCTTGTGAGCGGGCTACATCACCTGCTTCCATGGTCTGGGTTTCAAACATCAAGTCCAAATTTCGAATGAAACCAGTGGCCCTAAAGAAGAAAATTTTTATTTATTCTCCATATTATAATAACTAAAAACAGTAGATTAACAAAATCCAATTCTGATTCAAATGCCAATTTTGCACGTCTCAACCTTAATTTGTCCTAAAATTTCTAAACAGTAGACACCTATTTTCTTTAAATTGTCTTTAAATATTATTTCAGAATTGATAGTATGATCTTCTTACTCAGAGTCGATGGCTTCCCTCTCTACACTGCTGTGTAGCTGTAGGGCTCCCAGTGTAAACTCCTCATCAACATTATCTTCATACCACTGTCCAAAGTCCACAGGATCTGATGCAAAAAAATCAATCAACTTCAATTTCAGTTAACCACATTTTGCTGTATGTATAATTGTTACCCGTTCTTTTTCTTATCTTGTTCATGATTTTATTAAAACAATCCATTGTTTAAATTTACAAACAAGATGACCAAACTCAAGGTATTGTAGAACTACATTGAATCAAGAAGACTATGAAAAATCTCTCACAAAAGATTTTGTTTGAAATTTTGAATGTTCACTTATCACTTGACATTGAAAAAGCCAGCTATGAATACAGAAAGTTTGCTGAACAAATAGAATCCCTTGTAAAGCAAAAAGTTTGTTGCACCAATAAATGTGTTCCTATACAGCAATTTCATAAAAGAAGGGGTAATTTTCCTTTTCCACAAGCCCTGAGAATTCCTTACCCACGTTAGCTGGGGGAGTCGGGATAGCTACACTTCCCAGAACCAGACTGCCTGTACTATCCTGGTATAAGCTGTTCAGGACATTCTTAACACAGGCCTCCACGTAATCCATATCACTGTAGGTCAACACACAGTTCTGATAAATCAACTGAAACAAAAGATCATAGCCCGCACCTCAGATCTCCAGATTTCCGCATTATTCCGCATTTTTTCCTCATTTTAATATGGAAAAAATGTGGAAAAAAATACGGAGAAAATTAACAATACGGAAAAGCAGAAAATATACGGAAATAATCCGGAAAATAAACGGAAATAATACGGAGAATTGGACTTAGTCTATTTTTCATCTGGAAAAATATTGAACTCTTAACTTAGAATATTTTTCATCCGGAAAAAATACGGAGCTCTGGACTTAGAATTTGTTCATCAAGAACAAGATGTGTTTGTGAGACACATTAGCACCTGGCGGCAACATTAAGTTCTAAAAAGCAATTTTTAGCAAATGGGTCTCAGTCAAGGTCACACAATCATTGTTCTTGGTGTCATTTGAAAGCACTTTATTAGTGTAGTATGCATACCAAATATTAAGTCTCTATCATCTATGGTTCAAAAGTTATGGCGAAAATTCGAAAAAAGCTATATTTAGCACATAGGTCACAGTCAAGGTCACAAGGTCATTGATCTTGGTGTCAGTTGAAGGTGCCTAATTAGTGGAGTATGCATACCAAATATGAAGTCTCTATCTCTCACGGTTTTAAAGTTATGGCGAATGTTCGAAAAAGCTATTTTTAGCATATAGGTCACAGTCAAGGTAACAGACCTTGGTGTCAGTTGAAAGTGCCTAATTAGTGGAGTATAGCATACCAAATATGAAGTCTCTGTCTCTCACCATTCAGAAGTTATGGCAAAAGTTCCAAAAAGCTATTTTTAGCATAAAGGTCGCAGTCATGGTCACAAGGTCATTGACCTTGGTGTCAGTTGAAAGTGCCTAATTAGTGGAGTATGCATACCAAATATGAAGTCTCTATCTCTCACGGTTCAGAAGTTATGGCGAAAGTTCGAAAAAGCTATTTTTAGCATAAAGGTCACAATCAAGGTCATAAGGTCAATGACCTTGGTGTCAGTTGAAAGTGTTTTTGTAGTGGAGTATCCATACCAAATATGAAGTCTCTAAGTCTCACGGTTCAAAAGTTATGGCGAAGGTTATAGTTGACAACAGACAAACAAACAGACAGACATACAGCTAAACAGACAGACAGGACAAAAACAATATGCGCCCCAAAAAAATTTGGGTGCATAAAAACTGTCTTGGAGTTAACAGCAGTTCTCTGTTTCTCCTGAATGTTATGTACAATTTGATCGGGATCGGAAGAATGTTTCAAAAAGTCGGGCTCAGTGATCAATTAATTTAAACAACAGACCGCCAAAATTTAAGAATCCGGGATGTTTCGCGCCGATTCTGTTTCGCACTGAGATGGTTCGCGCCAGAATGATTCGCGCCAATTTCGGTGCGAAACATCTCCCCTCTTTTTTTTTAATATTTCATTTATTTTGTAATAAATTAAGATCATTTATTAAATCTTAGATATAAATATGTGTTGTATGCTCAAAATCATGACTTTATAATATGCGGTGCCACAGGTAACGGATCGTAAATGTTAATATTGTGCCCGTTTGCTGAGAGATGTGTTCAACTATTTAGTTGTAATTAGTTGGAGATCAAAAGGTGAGATTTATTTCATTACAGCAATTATAAAGTCGTACAGCAATTATCTGCGTGAATTTGAAAACATATAATTTGTGTTATTGAGAACATGTGTATAGAATAATTATTTCACCAGAATGAGCTAAACATATTTTCTTATTTGATAAACTAGGCTTTATAAATGGCCAATTGTTTTTTCTTTCGTCTCTATATTTCTCTACATCAATATAAATTTACAATAAGTGAATCATCTTTTTTTAAGTAATTCAATTCTAGTTAAAAAAAAAACAAGGACGTAGCTATGAGACAACTGCCTCATTATATTTTCAGCACCATCATCTTCCTATATTAATTTAATACATCACAGGAGTCAGAAAACAATTCATTCAGAAACCTAATTGTTTTCATTTAAACAAATCAATGAAATATTGTACTTTCATGTCAATATGTTTCAAAATTCATGAGATCAGGCTCTATAGTTTTAAAACCGAAATTAAAGTATTTTTGTGGGAAACTATTAAAAAATACATGGACAAAAAAAAGGGGGGTGCAGACAAACTTTGCGCACATGTAGTAACATAGAAATGCTGAAATAAAATAAAATAAAATAATTTGAAAGAATTAATGCTTATGCAGAAGGGATAATTTGATTTATACAATCCAACTTTTTTTTTATAGATGCATAGACACAGATCTGAAGTTAATATATTCTTAAATATTCAATATTGAAGTTTCAATGAATTTTACATGAAATAAGATTTTTCATTTATTGTTATTTGAATGCTGTTAAGTCTCCAAATTTTAGTTGATAGGTTCTCCAAGCCAGCAAATTTACATTGATAGGTTCCCCAAGCCGCCGGCAATAATTACACAATTACTTAATTAGATGGCGGTATGCTAAAGTAACTACTATAAACATAATTATCAGAGTGTAAAAATGATTTACAATTAAACTAAGTACTTCAAATAAACTTCTATCATTAAAATATAAACTTATATTCTACAAAATTTCGATACTTACATCAATATTCACAGATATTATAATTTATAATTTTTTAATTCTTTTTCAAAACGAACGAAATAAATAACATAGATTTCATCTTCTGGGAGCGAAACATCGTGGGGCGAACCATCTCAGCGCGAAACAGAATCGGCGCGAAACATCGCGGTGCGAACCATGCATCGGCGCGAAACATCCCGTTACCAAATTTAACCTTGGCCTCCATGTTGCAACGTCTGCTCTGTCTGAAGGAAGAAGTTTGTTGACCAGACAGCCTGAGATCGTATTGCTGTATCAACCAAAAGATGCAGATACACGTATTTCATATGCGGTAGGTCAGTCATATTTTTTTTAACATGTGTGTCACTGTGATGATGAAAATAAATACTCTAGGCCTAAGACTGAGCTACCAGGCTACGTACGTTTCAGCCAATATGCCCATGATTCAAATCTTTCAATCAGCTCATAGAATTTTATTATGGTTAACAACAATTAAAGGCGTTAATTTTGGGGAGCCATGGGCTGTAATCTCTAGCAATGATTTACCATACATTTTTTTTTTGGTAGCGTCTGTGCATGAGGAGGAGATTTCTGAAAAAGAATAAGTGCTTATTCAACTTACTGCGATTTTAACGGGCTTAAAGCTTGGTCCATGGATGGTTATGTTTGAGGTATATATATTCTTTTATTTCTTTTTTTATTGCTTGTTTAATTAAAAACAGTCAACTATGATTGTCATTATTATAAATAATATTTTAAACAAATTGATATTAAATTGAAGAACCCAAACTTGTGTTTATAAAAAGATTTTAAAAGGAATAAAAGCAATGAATTTAAATATTATTAATATTGCACCATTATAATTTAAGTACTTTTTTTTTAATTGATAGGATTTGACAATTCGACCGCAAGTGCGCTGCAAGAAATTAAACATGCAGAGACCTTACAAATTACAAAGAAGTCTGAAGAAAATTTTTATTGGACAGATGGGTGTAAAGCACAGACCTGAGATATAAATTGAATTGTGAGAAATATGAATCAGGGATGCAGGTAGAAAATGGTAAATGTGATCCAGATTGATAAAAAATGTCTAAAAATTTTTCTTGTTTTGTAAATATTCAATGCTATGTCAATTGTTGTTTTTTCCCCAATACCTAATAGTGTTGAACATTTCACTCCCACTTTTGCTTAAATAGAATGAATAAATTTCCATTTATTTAATATGAATATTAAAAAATGCCACATTTTTTCCATGATGAACTTGTGGCTTAAATAAGAGTTCCAGTTTTTTTTCCATACATGCTCCTATTTGTTTGTCAAAGATATAAGATCCAATACATTGCTCATGAACATAATGTGTAATTTTGTTCATTCATTTATATGTTTTTTTCTCATAATGATATAATAAATTGTATATAATTTTGCACATTGTTGATGGTTTTGTAAATATTTATGTATGTGTTATGCATCATGTAGCGGTTTTATTAGCCATTTTATAACCATGTGATTAACTCCGTATTTTCTCCAGATTTCCGTATTTCCGCATTTTATCAACCAAGTAAATACCTCCATATTTTGTATATATGGAAATGCGGAAATCTGGAGAGAATACGGAAAAAGAGTCCAAATACTCCCATCCACATTTTCTCCATATTTTGAATACGGAGAAAATCTGGAAATTTGAATACGGAGAAAATCTGGAATGAATGCGGAAAATTAGTCCAAATACTCCCGTCCGCATTTTTTCCTTATTTTGAATAAGGAAAAAATGTGGAGATCTGAGGTGCGGGCTAGTTACTATTTAACTGGTCAGCTAAAATACAATATAAATTTCACTCCATATTTGAACAATGCTTCAAAGTTATTATAATCCTTCACTTCGAAAAAAACTAGCTGAAGAAAAGATCAACCAATACTGTAGATTGGTAAATAATCATGATGGTTTTAATTTCACTATGTTCGTGATTCACGTTGGTTTAAAAAATGTTTAAATGCGTATACGAAATTAAAATGAAGTTCTTACAGCATGAAATTAAAATCATCGCAATAGGTACTTTTTAAGAAATCGTGAAATTTTACCATCGTGGAATTAAAACGACTTACAGTATACCATACAGATAAAGACGTTTGGGTGCAAAATTTGTGCTACATGTACCAAAATCTTACTTTTTTGCAAATGTTTATTGCTAATTTAACATGACTTAAGTTATCTGATACAAAATGTTGCTGTTGCATTTGTGAAAATAAGATATGACCTGGCCACCATGCCCTATCCATACATATGGTGATTCTGACAAAAACAGTGCTTAGAACCCTGAACCAGATTACCTGGTCCACATAACCGGTCAGAGCCAGTTTGTGGGGCGGTTCTGATCTGGCTGACACATTGGTTGGCCATGGAGATTCAGCCTGTACACATTAGTAATAAAAGTCAATGATTTTAGCATTGAATTGCAATCCCTTTGAGAGTTTTAAGTCCGAAAAAAGATGGACATAAATATCCGTCAACTTACTTTTGCAAATATCTCTGCCATTGTGTCCACTTTGGGAGCCTGCTGGTCTTCCGTTTTAAGCATTTTACCAGTGAGGGCTACCAGAGCCTGCTCCATCTGAACCCGGTTGAAGGGGTACCACTGATTGAGACCCTGAGCACCGAACAGTTGACGGGCAACTAACATTCCCTGTATGACTCCCAGACCAAAAGCAATGGTGCGAATCATCTGAGGCTCTGTCGACACTTTGTCCAACAGGTCAACTGGAACTTGTTTGAGGGTGGAAACAATTGCTGAAGAAGATAAATAAATGTTTGTTCAATGTGCTGTAATATCTCGAATCCTCATATATATCAAACATTTTTCTTAGTCCCATTGAGTCCAAAATAGAAAGATTTGATTGTACTTCATCAAAGAGATAACAGACTTAACATTTAAACCATATTATTTTTTTAAACTTATTATTAGACATAGGAGCCAGGCAGCTTAAAAATGAGCGCATTTTGTTTGTACTTACCTGAGTGGAGGTACGTTGAAGGTGACCTATATACAATGGCCAGTGGGGCTTTCTGGGACTGGTTTCCTCCTTCTGTGTCCTTTCGTTCCTCTTTTGATGTCCCCGAGTTTATGACATCTTCAGTAATATGGTTCCAAGCTATTTTATGCAGGTTCTGCAGCAAGAAGCTTGGAATGAGTGGACAGGGCTCAGATGTAATCCAAACGCAGAAACGATTTCCTTTCTGTTTATCATCCTGGGCATTACCTATAATATACAGTTGAATCATTGTATGTAATTGTACTATTTTGAATTCTTTCTCAATTTTTCAAGTGAAAATCCACATGGAAGATAATATTTTAAAATAAGAATTATACATTGCACATGAAATTAATTTTATATGACCTCCCTGACTTTGATGATAGATTTTTCTTTCATTTAAACTCTCAAGATTTTACACGTGTGATTATTCCATTTCAATATTAAGAATAGCTTACTCCTTGATCTAGC